AGGCGTAACTGTCAATTTAGCCACCTAAGCTAACACGGGGAATATGGCCATCTCGATTGGGGGTAATGACATAAATCCTCGATTTTATGGAAGCTCTGCACTCATCTATCGGGATAAGTCCCACGATGGCCCCTCCGAAAAAAATTTTTTTTTAAAGCCTGCTGAAGTCTTTCCCTTCCGGAAAGAATGACCTCGCCCTTCCGGCGGGCGAGCTCATTCTTGCCAGTGAACGACGGAGGTTCATAAATAATAACAAATTAAAAGAAAGACCATGCTCGCGTTAATTGGGAAGACAATTTAAAAACAGGCCTCAAAGGTTTTTGCCCTAATCAATAAAAAGGTAATTCTCCAGCATCCAGCCCTCTCAAACCATTCAACTAAGCAAATTAGGACGTTTCCTAATCATTGAAAATCCGAGCATGATCTGAATTAGGTGTCGACCTCAGCAACGAACTTCGCGCCCTTCGACCCAGGGATTCGCCCGCCGATTCGAAAGCGAAAACGTTCTCCAATGGGAGGCACGAATCGCGCCAGTCGATGCAGAGACGCGAGGAACGCCCATCGATCGCCGACGACCTCCTTTCCATGGAACGTCCGACGGACCAAACGGTCTTCGGAGGCGAGTCGGAGAATGCGTGCGGACGAGCGATTACTCGCGATTCGACGCGATTTGCTTTCCCCATGCCATCAATCGCCTTTCAATTTGACGCGGTGTGACCGCGATTCGTGATAAGTCATGTTATAATTATTCATATTAATATTAACAATGCTGCGGCAAACGCAAGCCCGATGATCGCCGATAATCGCCGATAATCGCGACTTTAAATTTTCGCCTCGTCGTTTCCGTCACTTCTTCCTTTGCGCCCACTTCTCAAAAACGCGATTTATTATACCCGATCTTGCCAATCGCGAGAATTCGTCACACAGTAACAAGGTAACATTGCCTCGTTGTATCCGATCTCTGGAACAGATCATAATCGCGTTTGTTCCACTCGAGTGACTGCAAGTTATTAGCAAGATGTGGCTGAATTTCCTGCTGAATGTGCCGTGGAATGGCTCGTGCTTGGTGGTTTCGCTAAGGCCTGTCAGTAATCCTTGAAGACGGATTCAGATGAAGCGAGGAATCCCGGGGAATCCCTTCTTCATCTCGACTCGTTCTGTGTTTGCTTTTTAAGATATAGGAAAGCAGGATTTGAGACTACATTACGCTTTTCTCCATGCGCGAGGAAGGTGAACAATATTCCTATCGACAGGCGCGGGTGGATGAAAAATGAAAATGGCGCATTGTGCGTCCGGATATGCCTGGGATGAGAATGAATATCGAGTGAGAAAAGGACCCCATGTGGCCCAATTGGTGCGACCGGGCCAATTGACTCAAACGTCACTTGCCGCCATCGAAGAAGAATTCGCAATGAAAGGAAGGAAGGCATCGAACGGTCGTGAGTGAGAGTGATTGCCCATCCGCATACGATCCAGCGTGTTCTATTGGGAAATATGTTTCGACGAAGGACGCTTGGCACTTATGCCGTATGACAATTTTAAATATAATAGATGTCGCTATATCTGGCCGATGATGCGCTCGTAACAATTCACTAACGTCGTTTCCCTATGATATTTGTTGTGCATAAAATATTTATTAAAATATTTATTTAATAAAATATTTTTATAGCTTTGCGGTTCATGCAACGAGGATTTATCCTATTGTCCTGAACTTCTACTCTGAAAACTTACACAATCTAAGCACGGTAATTGAGCGCATGTGATTACGGCGGGGGTTTCACCGGTGATCAACCGGGATCAAACCTGCATAGATTAATTCCTGTAAAAACCATCAACCAGCCCATTGAGATAATTTCGCTTGAGATATTTGGACAAGGTGCGGCTTAAAAGCACAAAAACTCCTCTCCCTCCCCTCCCATTCTTCCCCTCTCGCCTTCCTTGAAAGGGAAATAGCAAAGTTTAGCTCCACAGCAGATCACGATTTCTGCCGGTCGAGTCCATGACTATCTTCCCACACCCAAATAACGTCAGACTGTTATTTTGAGAAGTCACTTAACTTCAGCCGAGCGCAGAAGGCTCTCTCTATTCGAGAACGGTGTTACATGGCAGCGAGACTTTGATTCTTGTGCATATACCCGCGAAGCTCGTGAGAGCGCATAGAACGTTAAAAAACTACGGGGTGTATGAAAAGTCACTCCCTATTTTTAAGTTGTTCTTGCTCCTAAACCAAAGGAGATATTAAAACATTTCTTTAACTGAATTGAAGCTTATTTTTTACCTTTTACTTTATAACAATATTGAAAAGCTTTATTACAAAGTTAAAATTCAACGTTGGCTCCAGCATTGTCCTCGCACTTCTGTAACCTTACCGGCACATTTTCAACAGATTTTCTCAAGAAGTCACCTGGTGCATTGTCTAGAATATCACGAATTTTGTTTTCAAGTTCAACAATGGTCCTTGGTTTTGATTTTTAAACTAATTTTTTCGCCCAGCCCCACAGAAAGAAGTCGCACGGCGTTAAATCTGGACTTCGAGCAGGCCCTCCCGTTGGCCTTCCACGACCTATTAAATTAAGTCGCTCTTTCTTCTATGCTTAATCTTTCAGCCATTATTCACTTATAATAGAAATGGTAATGATTAAGCTTAAAACAGTGAAAGAACGGTTACAATATCTCCTTCATTTTAGGAGCAATATCAATTTAAAAAGAGGGAGTGACTTTTCAGACACCCAGCGACTTAGAAGAACTGCGCGCACGGTACTGGAGAATTTTTGGTGACAGTAGCTGTCCAATAAACCAGACATTCTTGGATGTGATTGGGCATGCTGTGGATAATAGAACAAACAATGCTATGCCATTAGCTCTGCAAAATATTTCATCATCAAATGATGCTTGTCGACTGTATGATTAAAGGGGCTTTAAGTCTCCACTCACTTATTTGCAGGCTAATAGCCTCCAGATATTGGAGTCTTCCTTCCGTGGTGTTCAGTTGAAGCTGAAGTTAGTCTCTTTCCAATAGATGTTCCTGGAAGCTAGACTTGAGGTTTTCCTGCTCTTTTCTCATGTTCTCGCAGTCATTCCCCAGCTTCTCAGTAGCGTGTCTGATGTTCTCAAAGTCGTGCTTCAATATCTTGTAGTCGTCCCTGAGACTGACCAGATGCTCATTTTCAGACTTCAGTTGTGAGACTTGCTTTGCAAGTTCTTGAGTTTTAGCCTTCAGAACTAGCACTATTTCTTCCAATTTGCCTCCAGTATTTTCCTGTCCATGGACGGGAGTGCTTTCGAGTGCCTGGGAAATCAAAGCTTGAATAAATATATATTTATCGCAAGAATGGCTTCAGGTTAAAACCAATGAATAATTCATTATTTTCTCTTAACTCGAAAATCGCAATCCTCAGGAGCCGAAAGCAGTTTTTTTTCACTACCCCAAAAGCATCAAAACCGGAAATTACTCCAAACGCATTTGAATTAAATATGACAATTTCCAATGTCTTCATTACAATCGTCCACCTTTCGTTTATTTCGAACGTCATTCATGCCCTTCTTCACGGAAATCCACAAGCGGGAGGCGCATATCACCATACTATTAAATGCCGGTAGGAGAGTTTGATAACGGATGAGATTCGACTTACTTTTCCAGATCCGTACTCGTTAAAAAGGATCTGTGAAAACAGTTGACATGGAATTCCCCTCATATTGATGCACAACTTCCTCGACTTGTTTTCAGGTCTGAAATGGAAACGGTAGGTACGCTGGTTCAGAATCGTTGCTTCTTGGTGTTTCCAAATTTAAATCCAACCAGTGTAAAGTTAACAAATAAACATTTTTCATGAGTCCATGTACAAAAAGAAAATGTGTAAGCGTCTGATGATGTTGTTACTTCCTTTGGGCGAAGAGTTTCTCAGAAAGTGTTTTGCTAAGTGTGGAAAGTATTTGTGCATGCATGAGACGTACAGTATTATCATTAGGCGGAAACAACCAAGTTCTTATGTTTCTATATTAAGAAAAAACATTTTTTGAGGGAAAGAATAGACATTTGATTTGGGAAAAAAATCCCATGAACTAGTCACAAATATTTTCTTAGCAAATAAAATAAATTCTCCCAAATCAGGTTTGCGATTCTCTTTTGGTAAATGTTAACGAACCACCATCCTTCACAGAAAGGAAGCCCCAACATCGACCCTTGAGACACACAAACACCAAATTCCTGTCGCAGAGACGATATTATCAGTTACTCACAAGCAACTCTTCGCTGATTCTCGACGCTTGCGAGATGGAAGCATGTAGGGGACTGGAAGGCAGTCTGTAGTCGGAGTGATCTCAAGGACAAGCTTCGATATTTATATCTTTGAACGGAACAGGCACCCAAGGCCAGCATTCCATTAAACATGACATGACATACTTCTCAAACATGACATACTTTTTGAAAGACCTTGTACAAGCGCCAAGGCCCATTCTATGCGAAGTCTTGTTTACTGCTCATCCTATATTGAATTTGTGTAATTTGCTCTGTGTACACGGGACGTTCAGCCTCGGTTCGTGGTACCTGAGAGGAATCGGCATGAATATATATCAAACCCTCATTTCGCTTTCTCTTATGATCATCGACGCAAGCTCATTTTCTGGCTGTTTCACTGTTTTGACACGGTCAAGAATCTACAATTTTCTTTTTTTCATGTGAATTCTGAAAGGCTAGGAATAACACTGAACATTTTATGATAAAACTCTCGAAGAGGAACGCACGAAAGCGGATTTCTTCCCAGAGGAGCGATTGTTTCCTCCATTCCTTCCAAAAGACGACATTTGTTCTTTCCAATTCCTCTTCCACTTTGAAAGTCGAACTATTTCCTATTCATCCTCCCTCCATCCTCCTAGTCAGAGGTGTCTGGAGACTCCTTGAAACGGGTTTGCTCGTTAGACCAATTTGTCTTTCAAGTTCTATTTCAATTACTGCAGTGCCTGTGAAGAGAGATCAGGGGTGGCAGAGTGCAAGGGATTAATTAAGGGACGACTGCAGCTGCATCGTCTTTGGACTCGTCATAGTGGCTAGTGTTGCGACATCCATCGTCCGTAGTGCAAAACGTTTCAAGCCACATTTCCATAAATTTTGCTTTAAATAAATTATTAATAATATATTATAATAATTATATCTCAATGTTTATTAGTGTTGAACCCCTCCTAAATAGATTTTCAAAATTGGTGATTCACCGGTGAATCAACGATGAATCACTGTTGATTTACCGGTTTCAATTTCAACATGCTGAAACTTTTTCTGTACGGGAAATTGCTTTCGATTTCCCCTTTCACTCTACGCCCGCCGTCGATGTTAATTCTCATCG